CCGCAAGCGTACACGATTGACCGATTGCTCCACATGCCCTTCATCCTGCCCGGAGGCCCTTGTCTGACCTGCCTCCCAGGCCTCATCTCTCACCTCTGCCGTGATTGGCATGGCCACAGGTTTCCTGCTCAAACACGAGAGCCCATCTTCAAAGTAATAGCTTACAGCTGCTGCCTGAATAATCCTCATCCCCTCTGTCTTTGAAGGGATGCGGTGACATAATAGCCCAGGCTATTCTTCTCCAAATTGTTATGGTGTTTCTCCGAGTGTTGTTCAATAGCAAAAGGGGAGTAGGTGAGACTCTTGCACGTGTTGCTAAATGTAGCATGATTATCAAGCACCATAAGCAGCTCCATACTCCCCCCCCCCCCGCCCCCTGGCCCTCTTCTCTCTCTTATTCTTCTGGGTTTCTTTTATCCCGCCCAGTCCTCCTGATGCTTATCACTGCGGCAGAAGCATTAAATGTAATGTCTGGAGAAGGGAAATCATTGGCAACATGTGGTGAGAGCTTAAGATGTTGTCACACTTTAAGTTGCCTATAATCTGTTCAAAGGGAGAGTGCATAGTTCTCCAAAGTGCCTGGAAAGAGGGGGGAAGAAGAAGAGCAGCAGAGAGGCCGAAGTCTCTCAGCTGCACTTGGCTCGGCTGAAGTGTTCATCAGACAAAATAACTGTCGGTCCCTGTTGGCTTTTGTCCTCTTCATAATGCTCTCGTTTTTTTTCCCCGTTCTCGTCTGTGTTTTTGTGCATTTGCTAAAAAACACAGCTTGTAGCGTTACAAGCCTCAACAGTGTGATAATCTGTCACGGAGAGGAAGAGAGAACCATAGATAACGCAAGAAAGAACAGACAAGGGATTACAGGTATGTGGACACAGGATTAAAAAGAGGGACGTAATGATTCCTCAGGGAGGAAGGTATGTGCTGAGATGGGCTCTTTTTTTTTCATTTATGAGTCCAGTTGTGGGTAGGCCTTGGGTAAATATTGACACTTGAGATGCGGCCATTGATCCGCACAGGAGGAGTCTCATCACTTGATCTGTGCGCTCAGGTGTGGGAGGAGGAAAAAAAGTGAGAGCTGGGTTGTCATGCTGGTGGTCTTCTTTGTGGTGTCAAGCCTGCCTCTGCGACACTAGGAATCATGTTACCCAAGCAGCTGAACGTCCAGAAAGTGGATTTGGGGTGAATACAGATTATAGTGTGATGGGTCAGTGGGATCAAGTAGAGGCAGAACGTGGTAAATGATCACCTAAATCACTTTAAGTCTGATTCCACTCACACCTACAGCACTTTGATATCTTTAATATCCCAGCAGAGCTCAACAGAGAGCTGCTCCTTTTCTGCAAACCTTATGTTTTTCTCTATATAAAATCATCATTTACATCTCCTCTGTCTCCCGTTGGCCCACTGGCCTGGTCCTCAAACCACTAATCAGGTAATGTTGGGGAGGTTGAATGGCGTGCCTCCCCCTGGTCAACCTTCACTGCTCACACAGTGGTGTTGTTTTAAAGAGCATTCTTTAGCAGCTGAACTTGGAAAGGTATTAAAGTGGGATTAGGCTCCTCCACAATCCACTGCTTGTGTCATTCAGGGAGTTTGTGTTCTCCTCTCCCCACTGCCACCTCCCCACTCCTCCTCTGTTTGATTGTGGCTAGCCGCAGGAGTGGGACCGACTGTGCCTTTCAAAGGAGAGGGGTAGGGTTAAATCCCTAGTCCACTGCTCCCTGCTAATTCTCCTTGTTCCTTAGAGAAGGATTTACTTCTGCTGCCAGCTTCTCAAAGGCCTTCTCTGCCCATCCGAAAAGTCGCCGTTGCCTTCCTGTGGAGGTGTGGTTGCCATAGAAGGGGCGTCATGCATGGCTATTCCATCTGAACCCCGCTGAGAATGGGGACCGGGGACTGAAAACAGGCAGAAAGTCCGGATTAGACCCGAGGACAAAGCAGGACAGGAAGATTCCAGAAGGGACGAATAGGAATTACAGCAGCAAAAATAATGCAAAGTGACAGAGAGGGGAAATAGAAAAATAATGGCTTACAAGATTAGACGCGGCGAGGAGAAAGAAGAAAGGAAAGAGGGCTGAATGAGAATGTTTTCATCTAGATGAGAAGATTTGAGAGAGCGGTCTTAGGTGAATGCAGAGCCCTGGACGTATCAAAACCGCACTAACAAGTCATTTCCTCAACTTTTTTGCTCTCTTTTTGAGCCCTAAGCCGGCAATCATTAGCTAAACATTAGAGTTCGAAGCTGGGAACTTGTCTTGACAGATTCATCACCTCTTTTCCCTGATCCCAGCATGTAACACACTAATCCCTCTCAAAACTAGAAACAACTCCCTGAATATTCAGTTTATCTTGACGCGAGTGTGTCCATTTAAGATCTCCCTTTATTAATTATATTTCTGATTTTTCTTTTTTTTTTTTATGAGTAGTGTTGTTCTTGCCTTTTGTTTTGTAGCGTCTGAACTTGGAGGTTTGTTTAGAAGACAGATCCAGGTTGGCAGGTCACTTAAACCAGAACCCTGCTTGTTTGAGAAACATGCCAAAATTTCTTTTTCAAGGGATTATCCTTGAGGTTTTTCCATAGTTGAATAATAATCTTCTTAACTTATTGTAATAAATGAAAGATTAAAGGATTTTATGAACCCTGAGAATGCCAGCTTCTGATATCTCTGTTGTTATGCTGCATGATGGTTAAAAAGAAAATCAGACACCGTTTCTCTGTACCAGATACAGGTGGTGATCATAAGGGATGGTACTAGCACTAATAACCTATCAATTAATATGATGTAATTAAGATAACATCAAATCAGATCCGATAGTGAAGCAATTATTTTATAAAGCTGCACAGACAACAACAAAAAACCCGCTATCTCGTTTCCAACGTGCATACAGCTGCTCATACGCATGCACATTCATGTGTGAACACACGTGTGCGCACACACACACCGTATCAGTACTCAATCGGCACCTATAACAACATTACCATAACAAAACCATCCTTTGGTTTCCCCTCGGCTTATATTTACACATTATATTCATCACTATCGCTCATCCCTGTCCCGAAACCGGAGGATGATGTCAATTGCTCCTCTTGCTGCCTCCCTGCCTTGCACAATGAAATAGATGTTCACCACAAATAGATAGGCGGTTGCCAGCTGTCTTCCAGACCAGGGCAAACAAAGAGGCCACTAATAAATCCAGCTTTACGGCTGGACAAGATCAACCACACTCCCTGCCTTCTTGTTCCATTTAATGTGGCTTCTTCCGAACAACCCGAGAACGAATTAAATGCCTCTCAGTCACCAATAAAACAATGCAAACATCTTCCTGAAAGGATATAAAAGAAGATGAAGGTGTTGTCTAGGAAATGGTGATAGAGGCAGTGTTGCACCATAGGGGCACAATATTAGACAGTAAGATGAAATATGAACAGACTACAGGGCAGCCCAGTAGTCAGCCATGAATCATGATACGGTGTCTGATGCCTGTAGAGTGTCACAGATATGAAAGAAATGTGTAAATTGTCAGCACAGGCTTGATTGGGATCATCAGGTTTCGGTGATTACCGCACTAGAACATGATCCAGCCTCTTTTTGAGATTTGTGAGGGGCTTTGGGTGCCCATGACTGAGCTTGCTTGGAATGACACAGGGGTCCGGCCCACCCTAGAAATTTTAACAGATGAGCTGCTGCCAAAGGGAGTCACCTCCTTGGCTGCCCACAGGATCGACAGGCCAACTTGACTCTTAGTGAAACAGAAAGAAATGATAAGTAACAAAATAAAGTCACATGAAAAGATCCATCATATGTCTTAACATTTCTGCTTTTCATATGTAGGAGAAATAGTGTGTTTTTCTCAGAAGTTACATATTCTAAATTTAAAGGGTAACTTAGGTATTTTTCCGCCACTTGCAATTTACACCCATTACAAGTGCTTGTTTTTGCCACTGACAGGCTCAGATTGTTACTGTTTGTGTTTAACAACATTATATAAAGGATCCCAACAGAGATAGACATTTTTATTAAAGGGTAAAATCATTTTTGTTTAACCAGAAAAAGCCCTAAAAGTGCCTCTGTCAAATCCACCAAACTCCACTTAAAAAAAACGTTGGTTTTAGCATGTATAAAGCTAACATATTTTCACATCTAACCGAGTGAATTAAAAGTTTATTTCAATCAAACCAGTGATGGTGATTGTTGGAACAGTGGAAAAACAAACCAAAACAGTGTTTCAGAGTTTTATTTTGTTTCTGTTGACTTTGACTGAAGTGTGTTTTATGGCGATAAAATAACCGTTTATTTAAATGGAGTCTGGTGGGTTTGGTGTTTGCGATTTCAGGGCTATTTCTGGTTGAACAGCAAGGATCTTACTCCTCAACAAAAAGGTCTATCTCTGTAGAGAATGGTTAGAATAACAATCTGAGCCTGTAAGAAGCAAAAACAAGCACTTTTAGTGAAGGAAGGCTACGTTAAGTGTGCATATACCCAAAGTGGTTATGTGGTAGCCTGTTTTTTGAGGCTAGTTGCAGCGCTCTTGCTAAACACCAATTTAACACATTGTTGTTGCTATTAGTCACTTAGGCACAAAAACAAAATAGGGTCCAGGTCTAAAAATGCAGACGTTACCCTTTAACTTTTGCTGAATGGTAGCCATTGTGGCCACAAGTGGCAATTGTAGGATATTGGAAAATTCTAAATCACAGTAGACGAGACAAGAAGACGAGAAGAGTCTCAGTGCTACAGTAGCTGCACACAATTGTCTATCTAAAGTTTGCATTAGCCACCATAAGCTGCTGGTTATATCAAACCAAACAAGGCTGAAGCAGGAAAACTCCAGAGTGTACTGAAAAATGCAAGGCAGCATTTTATTTCTTAAGAATTTACCTTTTTATATACAAAATTATTACTGCTCTTTTTCTTTTTTCAGAAGTTACATAGTGTTGCTTTAAACAAGGAAATTTCCCCTGTTGGCACAGCTAAGATTTTTTCTCTCTTGTTCCATAGGATGTTTGCCACCAAGTGCAGCGGCTGCATGGAGAAAATCGCCCCCACAGAGTTTGTGATGCGTGCCCTGGAGTGCGTCTACCACCTGAACTGCTTCTGCTGCTGTGTGTGTGACCGGCAGCTGAGGAAGGGCGATGAGTTTGTCCTGAAGGAGGGTCAGCTGCTGTGCAAGATCGACTATGAGAGGGAGAAGGACTTACTCAGCTCGGTTAGCCCGGATGACTCAGACTCAGGTGAGCCCTCTGCACCCTCTCGCACAAGAGTGAGAACAACACCCAGGTGCTATCATCATATGGCACCACGGTGTTGTATTCTGTATGCTCTGTTCCATCACAGTGGTAGCCAATGTAGACAAGCACCACATTGGATCTAAGCTGAATCTAACTGCTTTTAGTTAGAAATATTTAAAGAGAAAAACAATAATTTGTCCTTTAACTAGTTGCCAGATCATTTGCTCAACATCTGAGATTATTCAGAGATCTCGCATGCAGCCCAGGCTGTAAAAACTTCTAAAACAAGCCTCCATCTGCAGCTTTTCAATGGCTGATTTTGTAGCTTTCTAATTCAAGTGGGGAGCGGTTTATGATACAGTAGGAAGTGGAAACAGGACGAAGCCAAGCCACCCCGTATTAATGGCTCTCCATGCGTGGGCAGGATCTGGTGCTGGAAAGAATTAAATCACTGTATCATGGTGAGTGACAGAGGGATTTGGGGGCCTTTCTGCAGAAAGCCTGCGCCTCCACTCTTATCAGCTCTAGTGTTCCTCGCCTATAGCCTCCACACACAATGAGGCATCTCGCCAAGCCTCACTGTTCACTACCATCTGGCTCACATTTAAACATGCACAAAAGCGGGGAATTTGTCAAATACATCTGTGCCTGTGTCAACTTTTGTCAACTTGTGGGAATATTTGCTCTGCGTCTTCCTCGTTTCGGTTGTGTGTCCCGGTGCATCGCGCAGGCATGTCTTTTGTGCATGTCTCCAGATTTCAAGATGGAGAAAATGTTGACATGAACAGAGGTTAACCTCGGCATGTGGCAGACGAAATGTAGGTTTTTCGGAGGAGAAATGTAGATACTTAACAGAGTCAGATAACCGGAGACACTGAGCCATCGCGTGTGCCTTTCCTTACAGTCACCAGACCCCAAAATCATTAGCAGCACTACTGGTTTAGATCTGGAAACACTTGTTTTAGGCCCCACATAGACAGGTAATTTCTGGGTTTTAGTCATTCATTTTTCATGGTATGTTTACATAGCTATGTGGCCTTTGTGATGAAACTCAAATGCAGAATTTCTTCACTGAATGAAGTAACCTATTTATATGTCATACTACAATTACAATTAAAGCAACAACAGTTTAAAGTATAAGCAAACTTATTATGACTTTACCCTTAATAGAGGATAAACTTTGAGGATACATTGTGTGTACAGTACAAAATACAAAGAAATTCATAATCACTGCATTAAAGTTTAGGATTTTTCCTAAAGTAATGAATTGTTCAGGGAGAAAATAAAGTACTAGTTAGTGTATGTAATAGCTGCAAACAGCAAGCTCACTTTTAATGTAAAAAAATAAACAAACAGGCATCTCCATAATAACAGAAATCTAATAAAAAAACAAGTTATTTTTTCGCTTTAATGGCATGTCGTAGTATAGAAGCATAAAAATGACACTGATTTTACAACCCCAAACTGTAATATCCTGCTGCTGACAGTAAAAATCCGGCAATCCATATGAACATTGTCATTATTTTAAGGTCTGAAATAGAGAAAAAAAAAAAAAAAAAAAAAAAGGATCGTCTTGCTGTGTCATGGGAGATGCATTTCCCACATGTACTCGTGTTGCCTTTTTTTTCCATGTTGCACTTGATGTAGTATTCTTATCAGAGATTGATTTAGTGTAAATCAGACAAAGCTGAGCGCAATAACTCACATGTGACGCAGAGTCCAGCTCGGTGACAAATGTGCATATTTCACCACGCTCTCCGAGAGCGAGAGCCGTAGACTTCTGTAAGTCTAATCGTACATGTGGCCTTTTCCTTTTGTAATAAATTGATAACAAAGTATCAAAAACACATGTGTCTCCTTTGATTATGCACTTGTGGTGTGTGAATCTCCCGGAATTGGGAAGAACGAAAATATATTTATCAGCAGACTGTCACTGACTAAAAGGGTGTAGTCAGTTCAAGCTTGTGCTGATGATGATACAGAAAAATGACACTCTCTGCAGAGAAAAGTGACGATGAGGAGTTGGACATCAAGCCGGAGAAAGGCATAGGAGGCCCGGGGAAGGGGGATGATGGGAAGGATCCCAGGAGGCCCAAAAGACCACGAACCATCCTGACCACTCAACAGAGACGGGCCTTCAAGGCTTCCTTTGAGGTGTCCTCAAAACCCTGCAGAAAGGTACGCTTAAGTTATCTGTGAGGGAAATGTATCTGTTTTTTTTATATCTTCCCTGGTCTGCATTTGGGGTAATGGAAGTTTAGATGCCGACCACGAGCCCTACAGTAGTTTCACAAATAAAATTCTCAAATTAAAAAAATCTCAACCACCTCAGAGCTGTGCTTTGAAGTGGCAAGCAGCATTCTGTTCTGTGTTAACTGAGGCAGGCTGGTGTAACGCAGACCGCCTGCACCAAATGTCATACTGAGATAGGAGAGCTGCCTCCATAGCCTGGGCCCTAAAACAGGCACTGCACCCGGTCCAAGGCTTTGAAGAGGCAATAACCAAAGAGGTCCAAAAAGCCCACTGCATTCATTCAGCGTTCACTGAAATCAAAGCAAATCAAAGCGCCTATCGGGGAATGTGGAAGATATGTTAAGGAGGCAGAGTATTTCAGTGTGCTGTGAAGTGTTTTGTTTTCTCGTGGGATGCTGGAATTTTTTTGTCTCTATGATTTCAGGTGAGGGAGACGCTGGCTGCAGAGACAGGACTCAGTGTCCGGGTGGTGCAGGTGTGGTTTCAGAACCAGAGAGCTAAGGTGAGAGCTGCTAACACAGGATGAATTAGATTTTGCGCCCATATTCAACAGCCTTGTTCCATCTTAGAGTCCATAGCTTATAAATCACCACAACTATGTGTGTTAAACTTATCACTGCATTCCTTTCACAAATGTTTAAAAAAAAAAAGGCCCAAGGAGTTGCAAATCTCGCTCACTCTTGCACTAAATGTCTACACCCTCCTCTTTTCTGATTATTATCTTGTGAAAACCTTTGATACTTGACAATGAAGTGCACTCAGATACAGATTCTGTGCAGTTCATTCCAGGGTGAACAGCGAGGAGCATCCTTTTTAAATTAAAGAGCGCATGTTAGTTTTGGGGGTTCCTCACAACTCTGACTCCTCCGTTTCAGATGAAGAAGTTGGCAAGAAGACAGCAGCAACAACAAGAACAACAGAATTCTCAGAGGCTTGGCCAAGGTACAATACTGTACTTACCCTGCACACACACAATGGAAGCTCAATGTCTCACCGCTCTTTCTCTGGGAAACTTTTTTAGAAGCTATATAGTCACATTTTTTCCCTTTCGTATTTTCCACATTTTAAAGCCCCCCTTCACTCACTTTGTTTGCTTGTTGTTGCTCCACTTGGTTGCATTAGCCTCACTGTGCAGACTGGTGTTTGTGAAGGAGGAAAGCTTCTCTGTGTTGGTTGCTGAGTTCAGTGTGTATGTATAAGTTAAGTTTTGTGAGATCACAACTGGAAGCCAATTATGGTGCAGTGTGGAATTTAGACACGTGATTCGGAAGAGTAGGCCTAGGTATCATTTAAAGGGTAACTTTTGTATTTTTCAACCTGGATTCTTTTTTTCCTGTGTTTTTGGTTCTAAGAGATTAATGGAAACAACCATTTTTTAAAATGGTCCAGTATTGCGTGAGAGTGAGAGGGCCGCAGCCGGTAGCTATGAAACAGGCTGCAGTGTAACCACTTGGGGCACGTACACACACATGTTTTTGTTACAGTTAGGCTCAGATTGTTATGCTAAGTGTCTGACAACATTCGGGATAGGATCCCTACAGAGATAAACCTTTTGTAAAAGAATAAGATTCGATTTGTTAAGCTCAAACCAACCTGGAAATTGCTATCGCCAAACCCACCAAACTCCATTTGAATATGCAGTAATTTCATCATCATAAAACAAACTTTGTGGAACGTCGACAGAAACAACATAACACTAACAAAAGTCACCTTGCTTTGTCTTTCCACTGTTCTTACAATCACCAGCTCTGGTTTAGTTGAAATAAACCCTTAATTCACCCACTTAATTGTGATAATAGGTTAGCTCTGTACACGGTAAAATTAATGCTTTTTTGAATGGAGTCTGGTGAGTTTGACAATAGTGATTTCTTGGCTGTTTCTGGTTGAACAAAAAGGATCTTACTCTTTGACAAAAAGATATACCTCTGTAGGGTTCCTTTCCATATGTTGTCAGACACTTGGAATAATAATCTGAGCCTGTCAGTGGCAAAAATAAGCACTTTTAGTGGACGTAAATTAACGGTTTACTCAAGCCCACAGTGGTTACATTGCAGCCTGTTTTGCTGTAGTTGACAAATACAGAAGTTGCCCTTTAAAGAATTTTTATAACGAATAGTTATTTAAAGCTGATTATGTGTCATAAAACAGGTATGGGGGGTCTTTAAGTATTTCTTGTCATAGCAACACATTCTTTTAAATGTTGACATCAAGCTAGCAGTGTGAACACTGAATCAGAAAATATGAGCTTCTTTTCTTCCCTGTGCTCTGTTGCAGTATAGTTAAATTTTCTCTGAGAAAAGAGTTCACACATTCAGTAATTACATTGACTAACAGATTGCAAATATGTCGCAGTGTAAACAAGAACACTTCACATCAAACGCAACTTAGAGATTCTGTCTGGAAGCCAAACAAAATGAATGGCAGACATCATTTTGCAAAGCCACTGCAAAAGAGAGTGCGGGGGGGGATGGGCTCCAGTGATGAAGCCACAAGAGTTTTGTGTCCCTCTCACAAGTCAGTTAGCCAAGAGCAGTGTTTGTGAAGGGAATTGTGGGAGAAACCACAGGAAAGACTACTGTAGGTTTCCATGGAAATACTAACAGACACAGGCAACAAATCCAGGTATTTGGAGGTTATTATGGCTCACGAGCACCACACTCCCTTTATTTTTATCAGGTCTTTTGCTCTGGCAGGATATGAAAACAGAAACTCAGATTTAGGTGTGTTTGAGGTTTCTAAACTTGCCAGGCATGAACGGGAATCTACCAGGGAACAAGTCCCTGCTGTTAATGCTGTCATGGTTTTTCCCCTGTTCAGTCCTAGCTTTCTGCCCATTGTGTGGCGTTGACATTCTGCAGACTCATCCCCTGCTTTTTTTGTTTTTTGTTTTTTATATTGACATTTTCTGTAATGTTTTTCCCCCGTCTGCTCACTTTGCCCTGCAGAGGTAATGTCCAATCGGATGGAGGGGATGATGAACTCCTTCACACCGCTGGCTCCCCCGCAGCAGCAGCTGGTCGCCATGGATCAGAACGGTTACAGCACAGACCCGTTCCAACAGGGGCTCACCCCCCCACAGATGCCCGGGGACCACATGAACCCATATGGTGAGCATCCCCCCTCTATGAAAAAAAAAACACACACACCCACTCCTGCTCTAAAAAACACACACATGCCTGTCCCTTGATCAACCTCATGGCTCCCCAGCGTGGGACATGTGTTCAGGCCGCAGCTCCCCTGATTTAAACTGCTCACAAAGACGTACCAGCAGCTTCTCCTCCCACATGAGATAACATAAGCTATTGGGTTTTGAAGTTCATTTTCAAATCTGTTTAATATGGTTTTAACTCTCCGCCTCCACTTCTGAGACATGCCCTGTTACTGATGATGTTTTTCCAGTGGTGGTAAAAAACATGTGGTCGGTGCCGACAGCTTGAGATAGAAGCGCAATCCAGACAATGATTGAGGGCCGTGTGAGCTAATGAATCAAAGCGTGAAAACAACAAGTCTCTGATTTCTGTGTGATACGGGAAAGAATTAAAATGCAAAAGAAGGAGAGGAGGGGGGAGATCAGTCAATCAAGTGTTAGTCCACAGGATGTAACTGGAATAACACATTTCTGAGTGATGTCCTCAACAAGCCCCAGAGGGACCATTTCCTGAAGTTCATAACTTCCTTATAATTTGCCTCCATTTAGTTCATCTCGGTAGTAAGAACCCAAATCCCCAGTCTCATCACTCCTTTGGTTTGGGGAAAAGAACAATATTGGCAAGGCATTAAAAGATATGTCTCAAAACACTGTCCCCATTTTGTGCAACACTATCATTAAGATCCAGAGTGTAATAAAGTTAACTATTCCCTCCAGAGAAATAACATGTTGAGGTTTTATGAAAGGCGGAAGCAGTTGCTATTAACCAGATCTTTTAGGAGGATGCCCCTTGTTTACATGCTCCCTCATAGACCGCAATTGTCCCAGCGAGGGCAGCAAAAAGTGAGCTTTGATATCGAACAAAACAGCTCTCCCAGTTGTGATGACACACAACAGCAATTTCTCAAAGTGACTATTAGTAATTATAATTTCCCAATGCTGCTATAAATCTCAAATACGAGATTGCATTGATTTCATAGTCAGAGCGGGGCGTTGGTGCGTTTTTCTTTGAATGACGCCTCTGCCACCGAATCCTGACGGCTATCTCCGTATTGTTCTCTCCGCAGGTAATGATTCTGCATTCCATGACATAGACAGCGACACGTCTTTAACCAGCCTCAGTGACTGCTTCATGGCATCGTCGGACGTCAACTCCATGCAGGCCCGCGTGGGGAACCCCATCGACCGCCTCTATTCCATGCAGAACTCTTACTTTGCGTCATGAAAGAGAAGAGTGGAGAGAAAAAAACACAGCAGCACAGAATAAACTGCCCCATCTCAACCTAAAGCGCGACGGCCAGGAGTTTCTACACCGACATGGACACGACAGAAGAAACCTTGCAGTAGCTCCTGGTTATGTGCTGAAGCTTACTCAAAGATAGTAAAAACCACTTGTTGTAGGACAGTGAAGATTCCTGGGGAAAAAGACTTAAATATTGTTAGAGATTATTCAGTAGGATTGCTTATCTGTCGCAGGAGGTATTACTCTTTTCTTTGTTCACTTAAAGAAAACAAGTAGATATTGAAGCCACTGATTACACACTCTCAAACCAAATAACACAGTGAATTTATACAGTGCATGATCAATTGTAAACTAAATCTTTTTGTAAGCCCCACCCTTCCCTCCGCCCCGGTTAAGATGTGGTGTTTGGACTGTTCCTTCTTTACACTACATGGATTTCCATGTTCACCGTTAGCATTTTGATCACTTTCAATAGGTTTAGATATTGTGTTAATAGTAAATAGGTGCAGCATGTCTGCAAGAGTGACTGTACATTTGTGTATGTATGAGAGTTTGTGGTGAGAAAGAATTGTTTAGAGGAGAAAAAAAAGGTGGAGAATTTGTCGGCCGAGTAGGATCAGTGAAGTGTAAATACTTTCCCCAGGCAAATTGGATGTGCATGTTACAAAATGGAAAGCATTCTATTTATTTAACTATAACAGGCTCTTGAAGGTGCATATTAAAACTGAAAAGCTTTATTTAAAAAGGAGAGCATTTTTTTTGTTGAGTAATTAGTGAGTTCATGAGTGTCACAGCTCATCTGTATGCCTTTTTAATATGAAGATTAACCCTTTTGTTTTGTTTTTCCTTCAGCCAAGCTGTAAATGAGCAATGTTGCTATTTATTTCGTACAGACCATAAACCTTTTGTTGTCATTGTCATATGTGCATTCTCAAAATGTTAAAGTTGCTAACTGACCAAAGTTGACTGGTTTGATGAATAAACAATGTCTTTCTCCTGATAACATTAAATAAATGCCATTCAGTGATCATTCATATGGTAACCATGTCAAGTCCCAAATATCACCTGCTTATGTGTAACCTCAACTCATTACATTGGGATTTGTCAGTTGTGCTAGTGGCATAGCTCAAGGGATAACAATGTCAGTCTGTTGGTCGGCATGCTATAGACCGAATCACAATGTTTGTTCACAATAACTACCAGGTAGAAATGAAACAGCACTGAGCAAACACTGCCTCAATTCGCTAGTTTTTCACCATCTAAAAGAAAAAAAATATAGAAATATAGAGATGTCAATATTAGTTTAAGTGTACACTATATTTAGAATTTTTTTTTTTACCGTTTACCTTGCAGTCAGACAACAATTTCTGACAGGCAGCTGAAGCTGTTATCTTATAGTCTCCAGACAAAAACAGTAAATTTACTTCACAGAACATGGGAGTTGTTGGTCTACTGCTACCTTGATCACTTAGTGTGTAAAGTACAGCAGAGAAAATATTCCAAATGCAGTGTACACTTAAACTGACATTGTTTTTTTAGGTGTCTAAAATATGCTTACATGCAGATACATTTGGTTTATCAAATACACTTGGAAAGCAGCACAGTACATAAGATAAGCACAGCAGAAACATCAAATAGGTTAGGCCACTGTGTATTACTATATATCTGTAAATGTTATTCATTCATTATCTATAACTGCTTTTCCTGTTAGGGGTTGTGGGGGGTCTGGAGCCTCTCCCAGCTGACACTGGGTGAGTGGCAGGGTACACTCTTGACACATCACCAGATTATCACAGGGCTGACATATAGAGACACGCCAACAATCACCTACGGGCAATTTAGAGTAACCACTTAACCTACCCTGCATGTCTTTGGACTGTTGGAGGAAGCTGGAGTACCCTGAGAAAACCCACATTGACGTGGGGAGAACATGTAAACTCTGCACTGAAGGTCTCCCCCACCCTGGAGCTGAAACCAGGAACCCTCTTGCTGTGAGGCGACAATGCTAACCACTGCACCACTGTGTCGCCAAACAATACTGCTGAAAATGTCATCAGCTATAAACAAGCTCTCAAATTTCCCATATCACCACAGGAAGTGATTGTTATTGTTAGCACATTGTAACTACTGGTTGGATTGCCACAAGATTTGGCATGGACATTCATGGTCCTCAGAGGATGAATCCTAATGACGCAGAAACGGAGATTTTCTTGAACAATGACGCAGATACCCATGTTTGCTTCCTGACTGAGTCTTACTAGTCATGACATGTCAAGTCAAAACATTAAAGCTAGGTCTATACACCTTTTGTGATTTCATCCCTCTTGTTTTGGTACTCCTTTCCCACTGCCATGCCTCCTCCAGCAATAGATTACACTCCCAATGCAGCTTTATAATGTTGCCAAATTTCCATTGTAACGAATCCCAATTTGTTTTCTGACACCTTGACAACCTTATATTCATGGGTTAGCCTACTTTCAGTAACTTCCATCTCTTTACTGGTCCAAGCAAAGAACTCTCTGGTCTTATGTTTCACTATCTCCATACAAAGAAATCAACTGCAGAGTAGACAATGTTCTTCCTGTTAAGATTGGCACATGCATGCCCAGTGTATGTGAATGGTCATGTGATATGTTTTCAGGCGTGTTAGATTGAGATCATTTCTGAAACAGTGCTAAAATGCTTGTTTGTACGGAAATCGATTTTGTTTTAAAATGAAAACATTTTACTGTGGATGTGACATTAGCCTTGTCGTTGCCAGCATTTAGCGGTGCCAAGGCACAGCCTCACAGAGCCATTAGCGTGAGCACATTGTGTTATTTGTTGACCTAATACTAATTCCAGTCTTGTAACCATTCCAATGTATGACTTGTCTTCAAGAGAATGACTATGCTGAGGCAGAAACATGTACATGTGGTGAGGGTGAGGTCGGCAAAAAGTTCAGGTGACATACCAATACAGCTGCACGACTAGAGTTGAACCCCACCTATAACCTCAGGGCTTGTCGGGCGGCTTCTTGGAAGTACCATCTGGGTGCTCCTTCATCTCTCTGACAGCTCTTCAATGTGGCCAGGCAGGCTTCCACCCACTGTCTGCACAGTCACATGACCATGCAGATAAACAGCGCATTTATGAAGTTCTGTGTTAATATGACTCATTATATTCCTAATGTCACACTCATGACAGGCTTTAATAATCTTGGCTGCTATGCCTATGCAGAAGGGGTGCATGAAATTGTCAAATCTGTGAGGGTTTACAGCGTGAGCGCAGTGTGGTGTATATATATATATCTCTGCTATCAAGTCTTCAATCTGACAGCCAGGTGTTGGACTTGTTGGCAAGGTTACACTGCCATTTATCTTCACTTGTCACACAAGTAGGCGAGTATCCCCGGAAGCGCTCTGCAGTGACAACGTCTTAGTCTGCGACCTGATTGGATGAGATTTGTTTGAATATGCAAATATTTGAAAAAAAGGCTTAAACCCAACTGACATGGAAAGGCGTTTGTGTCTTTTTGATTCTTTTCCTCATTGACTGAAGTCGCTTTATGTGAGATGCAAGAAAAGTATGTCAAATTGAACAGGAAACTGTCTGTCTGTTTGTGTGTGCATGTGCATATGTGTGTAACTAAAAGCAAGACTTATGGGGACAATGAACGTGTTTGCATCAGGTTTCCAGTATATATGTGCATTAAAGTGTGAAAGGCTGAATAAACAGACACGACAAAGGCTCCCATTTACAGTAAACATGGATGGGGCAACTACGCACACATTGTGTTTGCACGGGATAGACAGTACAATTGGTTTGAACCTCTCCCTTTTCAGGGCAGGCCAGGTGAGCTTACAGAGAGGTGTTAGGTGGAGACGAGGACAGAAGGCCCTGGCGCTGACATTGAAGTGGAAATGTGACAGTAAACCCTCAAAAACCATAAATTCTCCCACATATTTTGCTTAAATGTAGTTGTACTTATTTCTGTTTAAAACTACACAAACCTGTAATTGTTGGTGTTGTAGACAGATGGATTTATTGTACATTAATGTAGTTACAGACTGGAAAATACAAGACTGCAGTCACCCATTTCTGGCATACAGTAAGTACAGTGGTGGATAAAAACACAATAACACTTACATCGTATTTCCATTGTAGTCCTCATAGGAAAAGGGAAAAAGGTAAAAGCTAATGCATTTGCCATTACACATTTCTGCAAACCACAGATGTGTTAAATTTGCATGTCATTATGTAGCAGATATGTTGAAATGAAAGGTAGGTTTAGACACAAAATCCACTATGCTGCTGTTAGGAAAAGATCATGTTGTGGCTTAAAATACCAAGTTTTGGGGGCACAATCACTGCTGAAAACAAAGAAATGTCTAAAAAAGACAGTCACTTTTTGTGCCACCATCCCAGGATGACAAAAAAAATGTCTTGGCCCATCCCTGCTGGAAACACAGCAATTGGGGTAATAGAACAACTGCTTTTTGTGGCACAGTCCCGGCTGGAAACACACCGATGTCTCCGTAAAAAACAACTGCTTTTCGTACCACTATCCCCACTGGAAACACAGCGATGTGTTGGTAAAAACACAACTGCTTTTCATGCCACTACCTCTGCTGTAAACACACTGATGTTTCCATAAAACCAGCTGCTTTTTGTGCCACTATCCCCACTGGAAAACAGCGATGTGTTGGTAAAAAAACAATCGCTTTTGGTGACACAATCCCTGCTGTAAACACAGCAATGTCTCAGTGAAAAACAACTGCTTTTCATGCCACTACCCCTGCTGTAAACACACTGATGTCTTAATAAAAAACAACCACTTTTCATGGCACGATCCCTGCTGGAAACACAGCGATGTCTCAATAAAAAACAACTGCCTTTTGTGCCACTATCCCTGCTGTAAACACAGCAACCAGTTTTGTTGTTTGTTTGTCTCAAATGGTGGTGTGTTGTGTTCTAGAATTTAAGACTAAATATAGTCATGTCATTTGCTCTTGGAACTTTGTTTTGTTGTATAATTATGAAATCTCAGATGAGACTATAATGAATAAGTAACCATAATTCATTACATATCATCATTAAGAACTCGTGGACGTTTTAGGAAATATGCTCATTTTGCCCACCAAATGTGCTGGTCAACAACATATTTTCCTAACATTTGAATGGTTCCTTTAATTTCATAATTTAGAGTGTATCTCCATTTTTCCAAAATATCCAGGCTTCTGCTCTGCTCCACCCAGGCTGTGGGTACACAGTATTAGTGGGAGCAGACAGGGTAAAAACAAATATACAATTTGCCCCAGATGCATTTTATACATCCACACTCTACACCCTTTTGCCCCTCCGTCTTTTTCTTACCTCCTGTCCTCACTTTGTTCAGCTCAAGCCTCCAATTTGCCAAACAGTAAAAGGCAATGAGTGAATACAACCTATGTCGCTGCTTGTTCTCTGGCACTCGGTCGTGAATCGGCCAAAGACGACACTTAGGGGTTGAGGTAAGTGTGGCCTCGATATGAAAACAGTCATGCTGAAACCCGAGCTGAAGACCCACACACACACAAACTCACGGCGAGTTAAGAGTCAGCCTTCAGTAAACTGTTCACACATTTACTCTTCTGCCGTTCTGGCACCACATAGGAAATGAGTCTAGTGACAATATTTTCATTAGATAACCAAAATCCTGAAATTTTCCACCTGAGACACAATTGGAGGTTTGTGATTCATTTTCTCTCTTAACTGCTCGCTTCTCCTGCCCTGCTCATGAAAAACACACAGGGCCTGATTTGTTATTCAGGGTAATTTAAAGCAAGATTCTCACCAGCTGCCCCATAAAATCACAGCGTGAGCTAAGACAGTAGCAGAAGAGTAAGCAACAAGGCTGCATATCCCACCATCACTTCATCACACTAAATCATTCAGGGAGTGACGCATTCAAGCCATGCAACACTTTATTTTGAAATGTCCATTGTTTTGAATTTACTGTACTTATAATTGGCATTCCCTATTGTCATTTCTCAACATCACATTTAAAACAGAC